GAATCCAGACGAGTGGCATACAGTAATTCTTTTTTATTCTTTCTTTTTTTTTTTTTTTTTTTTTTTTTTTTTTTTTTTTTTTTTTTGAGAAAACAAAGGCTAATAATGCTGGAAAAAAACTCAGGTAGCTCATCGTCCAATCTTACATACGCACTTTGGGCCTTGTTTTTTTTGTGCATTGTTTGTGGGCTACCATTTCACAAAACCGGTCTCCGTTCTCTCCTGGGGCCAGGTCCCACTAGCAGAGTTGAGTTTCCTCGACGCCCGAATCTGGACGTATGTGTGGACAAGTGCAGAAAATCGTGTTGAGTTTCCTCAAGTACACTTATCCACAAACACCTCCAGATTCGGGCGTTGTTGAAACTCAACGCTGCTAGTGGGACTTCCTTTTTTCTTTTTTCTTTTTTTTCTTTTTTTATTCGGGAAAAGGCCGAGAAAACCATTATCAAAGCACCAAAAGAGACTTTGAGGCTGGGAATCCTCGACAAACAACCCGGTGTGAACCAGCCACTGGGCTCTTGCCCAGCTTCAGTTTAACCATTCAGTAGGCAGCTTAGTCGACGCTAGCTGTACTGATTCTATAGCCGTCTTCGAGCCCTCTGCTCTTCTTCTACCAACCCAACCCTACGTTCTACTAATCTCCTTTAATGAACAAGTCTTATACGACTTGGATTTCCCAGTATCCACCTTTTTGACACTCCATCCACTTCACCCAAAAGAGAAAAAATGAAGAAGGAAAAAGGGAAAAAGGAAAAAAAGGGGAAGAAAAAGAAAAAAAGGAAAAGAAAACCATCCTACATACCGACCGGCGACCAACCACCAACCCACCCAAGACAAAAAGGACCTGACTGGAGCAAGAGGGAAATTAAAGACGAAAAAAGAAATTAAATGGAGAAAACTAAACCCTGCGTACCACCTCTAGCTGCCTGCCTCACCGAGTGTCCTGGTGAGAGAGCTACTGTACCTGTCTCTTATACACATCTAGATGTGTATAAGAGACAGGTACATCTTCTAGTGTGTGCATTTTTCATCCTTATCCAACTCGTGCAACTAGGGCCTAAGTTTTTTTTTTTTTTTTTTTTTTTTTCCCCCTGAGGGAAAGCCTTGGCTGTCTACTAGAATGTTCTTTTTTTGGCCAATTCAATACCTGATATTTTTGGTCATCTGGCCACGTAAAAAAAAAAAAAAAAAAAAAAAAAAAAAAAAAAAAAAAAAAAAAAAAAAAAAAAAAAAAAAAGAAAAGAAAAGAAGAAGAAGAAGAAGAAGATTAGCAATTACTGCACCAATCCAGAATGAGTTCCGTGCGCCAAGCTTACCCAGGAAGGTACATGAGGCCTATGCGTGGGATTGAGCCCAAGACCTCCTGAATGCCACTAGGCCGATGGCCCCCCCAAGCGGCATCGAGCAGAGACTGCTGATGTTGGTAAGGGGGACGGACCAGATGGGAGGACCCCCGGCCAGTATCGCCCACCTGCTGTAGCAGATATCACACCTGCTGGTGGGTGCTGCTCCCGCATGTTCCCTCGTTGGAGGCTTAAGCACGGATGTGGCTGCTACATGGTTCCCTGTAATAGGATTTATTACAATAAAAACGGCCTGAAAGGCCATCCTGTCCAGATTAGACAGGTTATCGAATTGGTTGGGCCTCAAAGAATTAGCCTTATTAAAAAAAAAAAAAAAAAAAAAAAAAAAAAAAAAAANACGCAGCGTTTACACCTGATCTCGACTTCCACCCCTTTCTCTGATAACTTTTTTTTTTTTTTTTTTTTTTTTGTTAATGAACAAATGCTCCAGTCTATTCGTGGGGAGCAGCACGTGCTGGGAACCGGGCCCAGCGTCCCATATGGAATTATACAGATCATTGAGAAAATTTGAGGTCTTTTGAGGACATTTGAGATACCGGGGCCATTACCCAGCTTCGGCTGAGAACAAACTGTGAAACAGAGGCCTACGAATGCTCACTACTCTCAGGTTCCCTGACAAACCCTTCTAAGACTTCCCAACACCGTCTTACTCCCTGCTGAGTTCTTCCAGGCCTCACGCCCCCACCCTGCTGGGTTACAGGGCAACACAACTCGCCCCAGCTCCGACCAGCGTCATCCAAGCAGCAACCCTTGGTCGTCCCTTGGGATGCCCACCCCAAAGCATCCCCAGATCTCTCTACCAGGTCTCACGCTCCTGCATCAGCAGGTTACAGGGCAACACCCCAGCACCGGCCAGCGTCATTCATTCTGCAGAAGGGGTGACCAAAAGGGAGAGCTGCCATAATATGGCCGCATGCTTCTGAGACGGAAGTTTCATTAGCTGCGCCCACATTTTCTTCATGTTCCTGATCACCTTTTCCCCTGTGTCCACTACTGTGTTTTCCCACCTTCCTGCTGCGACTTCTACTGGTTGTCTATTAGCCGGTAGGAGTTCAGACGTTAGTTTCATCTGATCCATCTGAAGGGTGGACCCATCCTTTTCTCAAAGGGCTTTCCAGCCCCATGCAAAGGGGTCCAGCTTCCGCTCACTTATGGGTTGGTCCAATTGGGACACTGCCACCAACTTTGTCTACTTTTCCCAGTGTTCCTGTACTCTGACTTGTTCAAGGATCTGGCACCCCGGGGTCACCAAATCCCCCTCACCCTTCTTCAGCACCAGTAAACCAGGCCGTCTCTCCCATTTCTGGAAACTTCGAGTTCCATCCTCTGCATACGCCTCCAGTTTCCAATATCCCACTTGAGCTGGAGGGACGCTGGTGACATACCAAGTCCCAGGTGGGTCTAGCACCTCTGGCTGTAGCAAGTGTTTCCAATCCGGCGGAATCGCAGAAATTAACTTCCTTCTCTTCTCACCCACTTGATGGTTACCCACCAACTTCCCACGGAGAGCCTCTTCTGAGTGCCAATCCCTCGATATTGGGTCCCAAATATCGCGAATACGTAACACACCCTTCCTTATCCATGCATCCCCAAAGGAGCCTGGAGTCCTACCTGCTTTGAAACGATTACCCTCTGAGTCAACCATCGCCGGATTATCAAAGAGAGGTTGATTTAGCACTTCTTGCATCGTCACCGGACTGAGCCAAGTATCTGGCTTCACTCTTCTCTAGGCCTTGATCACATCAGACCAGAATTTTGAGCGGATTTTCCTGGCCAGAAAGGAATCCAGTTGGAGGCACAACCACACGTCTTCTTCTCTCTCCAACTCCCATTCCATGGCCAGTATATGTTGCCCCAACAGGAGCCAGTGTTTGGTTCCTTCATAGTTGGCAGCTTTGATGATCCAGTTAGCCACAAGCAGAGAATTGTGTCTCACAGGGTCTTTAATGCCTAGGCCGCCTTCCTCTCGTGGTTGGGCAATCAATTCCCAAGCCACTTTTGTGATGAATCCTTCTTCCTCCTCTGCCCTGGGCTTCCAAATGAATTTCGCTGCTAGCCTTTTTGTTTGCGCCAAAAAGGAGGGGCTCAAAAGACGAACGGAGCCCACAAGTTTAGTAAGGACATCAGGGAGCACCAATGACCTTCCAAACAGAGACAGGTGTGGGCCAGAATTCCAGGATTTCATTTTTGACACTATCCTGTTCTGCAAAGTCTCTTCTTGTGTCTCTTGACAGTTTCCCAATGCCACCATTACACCTAGGAAGCGTTCTGCTTCACCTCTTCGAACGCGTTTCATACCCCAGTCAGTCTATGTCCAACGTCATAGAGTGTGGCAGAAAGTAGACTGATTTGTGCCAGTTCACCGCCGCCTCTGAGAACAGCGAATACTCGTCCAGAAGTTGTTTGAATGCCTCTAACGAATTTGACTCGTTTTTGGAGACAGCAAACAAGTCATCCGCCAAGGCCTTTACTTTGCACTCCCCTTTTGTTAACGCCAGACCCACTATTTCCGGTCTGTGTCTGATGTTAGAGGTGATTACCTCTAATTGAAGTACAAACAGCAAGGGTGCCAAAGGGCACCCTTGTCTCAACGATCTCGAGAGTTGGGAAGGATTCTGACAGAAACCCGTTCACCATCACCGTTGCAGATGCATGAGTATACAGTACTACTACCCATCTGCAATAGTTTGCACCAAAACCCATGTGACGTAGGGTAGTCAATACGGAACTCCAATTAACTCTGTCATAGGCCTTCTCTAAGTCCAACAGAAGAACTGAGAGCGGCCGTTCCTCCTCCACAATCTCTAGTACTTCAATTGCAGTTACGATATTTTCGAAAATAGAGCGCCCATGCACGAAGGCAGCTTGGTCTTGTCCTACCAAATTCGGCAGGTATCTAGCTACCCTTCTAGCGAGCGTCTTGGCTAAAATCTTATATGACACATTCAACCTGGAAATAGGTCTCCAATTTCTAATTTCATCCCTCTCCCCCGTCTTGTACAAACAGCGTAATCACGCCATGACTCATGCTGGACGGTAACCAGGCCCCAATAAGAGCATTGTTATACATCTCGAACAACACCCCTCCCAATTCCGGCCAGAACATATGAGATAACTCCACAGTCATTCCATCTGAACCTGGGGCCTTCCCCCTCGCCATTGCCTTGATTGCCTGCTTGGCTTCTGAGTCTGTGATAGGCCTATCCAAGTCCAATCTACCCTCCTGTGGTAGCCTTGCTTCAACCAGTTCCCACAAATCTGTCAGATGCACTTGGCCCATGTCCAGTTCGGTGTTACTTCGGCGTGACGTTAGGATGTCATGAAAATAGAGTTCTGCATACAAACATTCGGTGTTACTTCGTCGTGACGTTAGGATGTCATGAAAATAGAGTTCTGCATACAAACACATTTCCTTCGAAGTGCAAGCTTCAGGGGCCGATTTGTCAAAGGGGTGCTGCAGCAGCTTCATCTCTTTTTGCTGAAATTGTGGCAATAGGCGTTGAAATGTTGACTTTGTTAACCTGTCCCCTGATTGGATGCCCTTTACCGATAGGATCTCCTTCCACCTTTCAGACTTGGCCACTTGAAGTTCATCCCAGCTCTGCAGCCGGTGGGCTCTCTCAATACTCCACCAATGGACCTCTAGCGATCTCGGAGGGAAAAGAGCTATTTTGCCTTCCGCTTCCTCTACCGCCCTTATTAGAGCGGCCTCTGCCTTGTTTTCTTGAAGAGCCAGGATCCGTGAAAACACGCTGAGCATGTCTGAGACAAAGTAAATAAAGTTTAATAAACACATCCCACCACTCCTTCTCCGAAGTGAATCTGTGTATCTTGTCCATCCACACCCCCGTCTGATCTGAGACCCACTGCTTCACCCCAGGGTCGTTTATAACAGCTTCATTGAGTCTGAATATACCCCTCCCCCTCTCTGATCCCTCCCCCCACAGGAATTGCAGTATCACTGGGTTATGATCCGATATCGGACCCGGTTGTGTAAATACATCCAGCGTATTAACCCAGATTGCATAACTTGTTAAGAAGTAGTCTATCCGTCTGGGCGAAATCCGCCGCCCTGATTCCATCTGGGAGGAGTACCATGTGTATCCCAGGTTCGTGGGATTGGTTTGCCTATACGGGTCTGAAACATTCAGGTCTGAGATGATCTCGAGCACAGCATCCAGATCTCTACCGGAACTATCCGTGTTAAACAACGGATTTGCGTCATCCAATGCCACATTCCAATCACCTGCAAGAATAATATTCTCGATCCCCGGGAGAACGTCCATCAGACTATTTAAAAATACTACTCTCTCACACCGTTCCGCTGGTGCATATACCGTGACTACCAGTATTCTAGTGGGACTTTCCGGTCAACTCACACATGAAAAACATGGGAAAAAAAAAGAAAAAAGCTGAGTACGGATCTGGGCCGCCCGGCCGACCGGCGCCTGCCCGGGGGAGGTCCCAGGCGGCCTGGCCGGGCGGTCGGCCCGGTTGGGGGCCGGGCACCCCAGCACACCTTGTTGGCAGGGGGTTTCCGACCCCACATCGGGTGGTCTTGGCCTCCCCAGGACAGGGTCCGACCACGCCGAGAAAACAGCGCGTCGGGCCTGTGAGGCCTGTTTTTTTTTTTTAAATTTGGGACGGCCTTCTTCTTCTTCTTCTTCTTCTTCTTCTTCCCTCCTCCTCCTCCTCCGCTCATTCTTCTGCTCCTTCTTCTCTCGTCCTCCTCCTCCCCCTCTCTTCTTCTTCTTCTTCTTCTTCTTCTTCTTCTTCTTCTTCTTCTTATACTTCTTCTGCTTTTCTTCTTCCACGACTTCTTCACTCCTCCTCCTCCTCCCCCTCTCATCTTCTTCTTCTTCTTCTTCTTCTTCTTCTTCATCTCTCGTCGTCGTCCTCCCCCTCATCTTCTTCTTCTTATTCTTCTCTCCTCCTCCTCCTCTTCCGACTATCTTCTTTTTCTTCTTTTTTTTTACATTCGTTAGTGACAGGTAAGGAAAAAAAAAAAAAAACTGCTCCGCTCGTCATCTTCTTCTTCTTCTTCTTCTTCTTCTTCTTCTTCTACTCTCCTGCTCCTTTTCCGATCATTCTTCCGCCTCTTGTCTCCTCCTCCTCCTCCCCCTCTCATCATCATCATCATCATCATCTTCTTCTTCTTCTTCTTCTTCTTCTTCTTCTTCGAGTTCTTCACTGCTGCTCCTCCCCCTATCATCTTCTTCTTCTTTATCTTCTTCTCTCCTCCTCCTCCTCCCCCTCGTCGTTTTCTTCGTCTTCTTCTCTCCTACTACTCTTCCCTCCGCCGTACCCCGCCGTCATAGCCCCTCGCCTCCGCCATACCCTAACGCCGCCATACCCCGCCGTCATGCCCCCACCCCTCCGTCATACCCCGCCGCCATACCCCCACGCCTCCGCCACTCTTCTTCTTCTTTCTCTTCTCTCCTCCTCCTCCTCTTCCACCCATCTTATTCTTCTTCTTCTTCTTTATCTCTCATCATCGTCCTCCCCGTCATCTTCTTCTTCTTATTTTTCTCTCCTCCTCCTCCTCTTCCGACGATCTTCTTTTTCTTCTTTATTTTTGAATTCGTTAGCAATAGGTCGCGAGATAAACGACAGGTAAGGAAAAAAAAAAAAAAAAAACTGCTCCGCTCGTCTTCTTCTTCTTCTTCTTCTTCTCCTTCTTCTTCTTCTTCTTCTTCT